CACTTCACGTTCATGTGCCCAGGGCCCGGTCCTTGGTTCTCTTCTCTACCCCTCCTTGCCCCCATCCTGATCCTGATCCATCTTACACTGATGACTCTTATGATGACTAATATTGATTGTGAGCTTGACAGGATTGAGAATCATCAAAGAGACAAGCTTCTGAGCATTTCAATGAGGGATTTTCCAGAGTTGGTTAATTAAAGTGGACCAACCCACCCTAAATATGAGTGGCACCATTCCATGAGCTGGGAGCCTTGAACTGCATGAAAAGAGAAAACTAGCTCAACGCCAGCATCTCCCTCTGTTTTCTGAATGTGGATGCAATGTGACCAGCTGCCTCAAGCTCTTCCCCACCAGGATGAATAAACCCTTGAACTGTGAACCAGAATAAACCCTTCCAAAGTTGCTTTCACCAGGTCTCTGTCACAGCAAGGAGGAAAGTAATTAATATGACCCCCAAATTTGTGTCTCCAGCCACGATTTCTCAGCTCACATATCCAGCTGCACCCACGGTCTGCTTGGCACTGAATACACACTACATCAGCCTGAATCTAAAGTTTCCTTCTCAACACTGGGACTGCACATCTCTATGGAAAGCAACTCCATCTTCCATGTGCAAACCCCTGGGGCCACCCTGGATTCCTGTTGTATTCCCACACACCCTGTCCCATTCTTCAGCATACCTGTTAGCTCTGTCTTCAAGTTTGACATCTTTGTTACTCCCTCAGCCAGGGCACAATCCTCATTAGGCGTTTTTGTCCACAACCACCTCGACAACCTCTAACTGGCCTCCCTACCTCTGTACCCTGCTCTTATGCAATCTGGAGTATTTCTTTAGGCCATTAGTTCATGAATTTACTCCTGCAATGATCAATGCTAACGTCAACTTGACAGAATCTAGAGTCAACTAGGAGATGGGCTTCTGGGCATGCCTGTGGGGGATTATCTTGATTGTCTTATCTGAAGTGAACTGCCCCACTCACTGTGGGAGATACCACTCCCTGGCTGAGATCCTGTACTATAGGGGTGGAGAAAGGGAGCCAGGCATGGTGGTGCACTTTAATCCCAGCACTTGGGAGACAGAGGCAGGTGGATCTCTGTGGATTCAAGGCCAGCCTGGTTTACACAGGGAATTCCAGGCCATCTGGGCCTATAGGGAGAGCCTGTCTCAAAAAAAGGGGGATAAGGAGGGTTGGAGAGATAGCTCAGTGGTTAAGAGCACTGTCTGTTCTGGCAGAGGACCCAGGTTCAGTTCCTAGCACCTCCATGGGCATTGCATACACGGGACCACATAAAACAAATTAATTAATCTAAAAAACTTTAAAAAACAGATTTAGGCATGTATTTACTACATTCATAATGATCAGTCAATACTAGGAGTGCCTTAGGTTATATATAGTGCTTTTACACTGAAGGACAGCTGTGTACAAATGCTTAAAACTGGCTATGACTTTAACATGTATGGCAGAATACATGAGGTCCAGAGGGGAAGGTGGGGGTGCATGGATGGGGGAGGGGTCTAAATTTTATTAAAAACTTTTTTTTTTTTGGTGTTTTTGAGACGGGGTCTCCCTGTAGCCCCAGCTGGCCTGGAACTCACCATGTAGACCAGGCTGGCCTCGAACTCACAAAGACCCAGGGCTTTGTGCATGCTAGGCAAGCACACTACCAAATGAGCTACAGCCACAACCCCATTTTTAATACTATTCCAAATCTACTGTCATACAATTCATTTTTGCTCTATATTTGTTCCCAAGAACAAATAACTTCATAAATATTTTTTGAAATGTTTATACTTTTTAATACATTCACCGATATCCAAATAAAACCAAGCATAATCATACTGAGCTGTCACATTTTTTCCCCCTTTAAAAAACATCAGGAGCTAGAGATATGGCTCAGCAACTCCAGCTCTACAGGATCCAACACCCTCTTCTCGCCCCAAGAGGCACCTGCACACACACACACACACACACACACACAGAGAAACACACATACACACACCCACACACACACAGAAATAAAATATTTAAAAGAAATCAAATTGTGGGCCAGGCATGGTGGCACATGCCTCTAATCCCAGCACTTGGGAGGCAGAGGCAGGTGGAGCTCTGTGAGTTCAAGGCCAGCCTGGTCTACATAGCGAGTTCCAGGACAGCTGGGGCTACTAGAAGACCCTGTCTCAAAAAAGACCGAAAAAAAAAAAATCAAATTGCACCAATATAAGGGGAGCTTTTTCACGTTCCTTTATTAGAAATTTTTAATTTATAAATGATTATTTTTATTTTATGTGTATGAGTGTTTCGCCTGCATGTATGTAAGTGTACCCATGTCATGCAGTGTCTGTGGAGGTCAGAAGAGGGTGTCAGATCTTCTGGAACTGGAGTTAAGGGAGATTGTTTGCCACTGTGTGGGTGCTGGGAACCAGACCCAGGTGCTCTGAAAGAGTTGCCACTGCTCTGAACAGCTGACCCACATCTCTAACCCTTTAAATTATTTTGAATGTCAAAACGTCTCCTTTTTTTTTTTTCCTTTTTGGTGTTTTTGAGACGGGGTCTCCCTGTAGCCCCAGCTGGCCTGGAACTCACTATGTAGACCAGGCTGGCCTTGAACTCACAGAGATCCACCTGCCTCTGCCTCCCAAGTGCTGGGACTACAGGCATGCGCCACCATGCCCGGCAATTAAAAACTTTTTTTAAAGAAGGCAGGGAACTAAACAGCGTGCACATGTTGTTCTTGGCTTCTTGACTGGCTGTCATGTGAGCAGCTCCCTTCAGGCTCCTGCTGTATGAAGGATCACAACAGGAAAAGTAATTCAATCCCCTCTTCTTACAATACAGAAAAACCAACTCCAAATTATTACCCAATCAGTTGAGGGACTGCTTAAAACTTTTTTTAAAGAAGGCAGGGAACTAAACAGCGTGCACATGTTGTTCTTGGCTTCTTGACTGGCTGTCATGTGAGCAGCTCCCTTCAGGCTCCTGCTGTATGAAGGATCACAACAGGAAAAGTAATTCAATCCCCTCTTCTTACAATACAGAAAAACCAACTCCAAATTATTACCCAATCAGTTGAGGGACTGCTTCATGACATTAAACTGCTCAAAGATGTTCTAAGACCCCTAAAAGGCACCAGCAATAAAAGCAAAAATGGAGGAATGGGATTGCATCACTCTAAAACGCTTCTGCAGACCAAAGGACAGAGTCAACAGAGCAAAGAGACAGCCCACAGAATGTGAACAAATGCTAGCAAATATATATAAGGTTACTATCCAGAACACACAAAGACCTCAAACAAGATAACAAGAAAAAAAGTCCACTTTAAAAATAGGCAAGGGACTGGAGAGATGGCTCAGAGGTTAAGAGCACTGACTGCTCTTGCAGAGGAAGGACTTGGGTTCAATCCCCAGCACCCACATGGCAGCTAACAACCATCTGTAACTCCAGTTTTAGGGGAATCTAACACCCTCTTCTGACCTCCACCAGCACTGCACGACATGGGTGCACTTACATGCAGGCAGTACACTCATATACATAAAATAAAAATAATAAAATATTTTTTAAAAAATAGGCAAAAGCCCTATTTTGACATTTTTTAAATCCAAAAAACAAAAATAACCAAAAACACCACAAAAAAACATACAATGGCCAGTGGTACATGAGAATGTCCTAATATCACTCATCATCAGAGGATACAAATCTAAGCCCTAGGAGATGCCGGCTTGCTCCAGGAAGAATGTCTGTGATAAAAAGATGAGAGAAAGCAGGAGCTAGTGGAGAATAGGAGAGCCCCGTGCTCTAGGAACAGGAAAGTAAATTCTAGGAAACAGTGTGGAGGTTCCTCACTATAAATAGAAAAACCCTATGGCCCAGCAATCCCATTACTGACAGTCTGCCTAAAGGAAATGAAGTCATATGTCAGAGGGACATCTGTACTCCCATGCTCACTGTTGTATGAACAGTAACCCTGAATGGACTGAAATGTGGTGTAGCTGGGCATGGTAGCGCTCACCTTTAATCCCAGCACTGGGAGGCAGAGGCAGGTGGATCTCTGTGAGACAGAGGCCAGCCCCGTGTTCTACATAGCAAGTTCCAGGCCAGCCGGAGCTGCAGAGAAGAAAAGAAAAAGTGTGTGCACACAGAATATTATTCAGCCATTCAAGAACGAAATCCTGTTTACAAAGAGCATGGATGAACCTGAAGGCCCTTGTGCTAAGTGCAACGTGCTGCATGACCTCACTCAAGAGGGATCAGAGAGTGCAGTGTGAAACAGTGGCTCCCAGAAGTCTCAGAGGGCGAGTCAGCCAGTACCAGGTTGCAGTTAAGAGGAGTAAATTCTCCAGTCCTTGCACACAGTCCATAATAACGTATCATATACTCTAAAATACCTAGAAGTAGACAGACAGCTCAGTGGGTAACAAGCCAGCTGCCAAGTCTGACAAGCTGAGTTTGAGCCCTGAGACCCACAAGGCAGAAGAACAGAGTCAACTCCCACAAGTTGTTCTCTGGCCTTTGTGTGGGTCATGAGTGCATGCACATACACAATGAATAATTAAATGTAATAGAAATTAAATTAATTTAGAAATAGCTAGAATAGAGGATTTGAATAGTTTACCATAAACAATAAACATTTGAAGTGCTAAATAATTCTAATTACCCTGATTTGAATATTACATGTTTTACACATTTACCAAAATATCACATTATATGATGGAAATTTGTATATTTATGATACATCCATTAAAAATAAAATAATACATACCTGAAGGCTATATTGCTTACATGAAAAAAAATTACCTTTTAGGTAGTAGTGATTTTAATTTGGTAATTTTACATACTTAAACAAATATTAAGATAATTTTAGTATTGATATGGTTTTCCAGGGGTTTTAAGATTTATTTTTAATTATGTGCATGTGTTAATAGCATTTCATATTTTTTAAGGAAAATTAGGGATCAGTATCTCTTTGGAATTGATATAATATTTATGGCTCCTTTCTAGGTCACCAGCAATGTCGGGGGGAATTTTTGCTATACACAGGCATTATTTTAATGAGATTGGACAGTATGACAAGGGCATGGATCTTTACGGAGGAGAAAACATAGAGCTTTCGCTAAGAGTAAGTCAAACTTTGTTGTTGTTTTCCACGTAGTTACGTTTGTGTGTAGTGAAATCTGGTGTTCAAGCCTCATGCCTGCTGGGCCAGAACACCCCCTTTGAGTGAAAGTGCAATCTGACTTTCCATAAGGTTATACCCAGTTTCCTTCATGAACATGCAGGGTTATCCTGGTGTCACACTCAAGGGCATGCAACAGACTTACAGGGCTCCTTGAAAACACAAAGAACATTTAATAGGACATTAAATTCTCTTACTATAAGCTTTATTTTTAATGCATGATACAGAAAAGTAAACTAAGTTTTTTTAAAAAAAACTTTAATGTGTATGAGTGTTCTGCCTGTAGTTTTGTAAGTGCACCATGTTGTGTAATGCTCGTGAAGGTCAGAAGAGGGTATCAAATCCCCTGAAACTGCAGTTAAGGATGGTTGTTAACTGCCATGAGGATGCTGAAATTTGAACTTGGGTCCTCTGCAAGAACAGTCAGTTCTCTTAACCACTGAGCCATCTCTCCAGCCCCAAATAATAAGATTTTAAATCTACTTGAATTCCGATGTCTCGGTACTTATATTCTCTTTCCTTTTTTTGTTTTAGATTTTATTTTCTCTCCCTTTTCCTTCTTTCTGCTGGCTGTTTTATACATTGTGTGTGGGAAGGGGGTGGCCTGTGTGCATGTGGAGACCAGAGGTCAACCTGAGGCATCATTTCCTCTGTGTTGTCCACCTAGTTTTATGAGAAGGATCATTCACTGACCTAGAACTTGCCAATTAGGCTAGCCTGGCAACCAGTGAGCCCCAGGGATCCTCCTCTCTCTGCCTCTCACAGTTGGGATTACAGGTGTGCACCACCACACTCAGGAGTCTTCATTTCCTCCTCCCCCTC